GCGCGACGGCGCTCCCGCCGAGGGTTCGGATCCCACGTACAGACCGGCTGCTCACTGGCTGAGCGAGGTGCGGGTGCAATGCCGAGGGTTGCGATCCCGTTGCCGGTCACGAAAAAAGACAAAAAGGAAAAAAAAAAATTTAAGGCTAGATCTTTTAAAAATATATTTTATGTCTTATTGCTTAGATTTTAGAAAGAATTACTTTCTTCGTATAGTCAGTATTTTTTTAATACCTATGATTTTGAAAAAGATTTCATCCCAAATTCTATTTTTTTTACTATTTTTTCTATTAATAAATCTAATTCAGCGTTTCCCAAAGTGTGTTTCGTAAAAGATTCATGAGGTGCTCTAATATAATTCACTCACAAAAAAGAATGCTATTGTCAAATATGTCTTATTGCTTAGATTTTAGAAAGAATTACTTTCTTCGTATAGTCAGTATTTTTTTAATATCTATGATTTTGAAAAAGATTTCATCCCAAATTCTATTTTTTTTACTATTTTTTCTATTAATAAATCTAATTCAGCATTTCCCAAAGTGTGTTTCGTAAAAGATCCATGAGGTGCTCTAATATAATTCACTCACAAAAAAGAATGCTATTGTCAAATGAATTTTGGAAACGCTGTATATTATGTCCCTTTCTTAGACATTCATAATGTACATTAGCATATTAAAAGTTCTGAGAAGTCCTGCAACAAAGAAAACCCTTAACTTTATTTAATCCAGTATCTTCCAAAATCATTTGACTTTTTATCCCCAAATTATCTGGATGAAGTGATATTTTAAGAAGTATTATAACAGTAGGTTATATTTGTTCAGGCACTGTTACGTGCAGGGCATTGCTTTAATGCAATGTGTGTTTTTTAGTTCATTGTATCTTCATAATAACCCAGTGAAGTAAGGACTGGTATTATCTCCAATTAAGAGATGAGGCACAGAGAGAATGATTAATTTGACTAAGATCACATAGCTAGTAAATATGATAGTCAAAGCTCAAACCAAGGCATTCTGACTTCAAGAACACTTGGGGAAACACTGTTCTGGTCTCCAGAACAGAATTTGGTTCAAGATTTCTGGACTCAATTAATACATTCATTCACTCGACACATATTTATTGGATGCCTTTTATGTACAGTTACTATGCTAGGCACTGTGGATACTCAGGGAATAAAAGCAGACAGAGTCCTTGCTTATATGAAGTGAAACTGTCATGGAAAGACAGATAGTAACCAATGAATGGTTCAAATAGATGTAAAATTAAGCTGTGATCACAGTTATGGGGTTTTAATAAAGGACATACACTGCTATAATCTGAAACACGGGGACTTGAGTTGTTCAGAAAGACTTCCCTTTGAGGTGAAAATTAAGCCTAAAAGTAACTCTACAAGCACCTTTGAGGTGAAAATTAAGCCTAAAAGTAACTCTACAAGCACCCAGACCTGTGGATGATACTTGGTGAAAACTCCTGCAATGACTTATTTTAATTTTGCTTATCTGAAACTATGGGTTTTAACATTTAGTTTGAAACTTTATGTTGGGTGCGTTAGTGACCTTAGAAGTCACTAAGTTAGGCAACCAACAGCTTCATTCTCCTTTCCCACTTTCCTGCCCAAACTTCTCCCATTCTTCATTCATCCTCAGTAAATGTTTTAAAGTGCTTTCTTTCTAAGGCGATGTCTGCATTTTCTCTTGGATTAAGCCATAAGCAAAAAGACTCAAGGTTTGGTAGAGAGTTTCTTGGGGAGGAGACCTAGCTGGAGGTGGTCCCCATTTCAGCTCTACATGTAGCTTGGGTGCTACTTCATTTTTAGAAATCCTATTTAGGACATTAGAACAAAGTTTGGGACTGGCAGAAATGGAAGCTAAAACTTATTATGCAAA